GTCACTTTTCTTTTAAAATATCTGAGGGGGCTCGTGAGGAGGAGTGGTGGGGGGAGTTGATGGCAGGTGATAATTGGGCGACTCATAATTAACGAGACATTTTTTTTGAACGGGAAATGGAGCCATAATTTGGCTGTCATCGCCTTTTGACGAGAAATGGTCCCAGGAGACTGGGTTCCTTGTCCAACTCGTGCCATATAAGCGTGGGTAAGGCCGGGCGATGCTTCTGTGGCGAGAGAGAGAGAGAGGGGGACAGACACAGAGAGGGACAAAGGCGGACGAGGTATTTAAGTGGGAGGTTTGAGGGTGAACGCTGTCGCATAAGGCGCGGGGGAAGAGGTTGAGAAGAAATCCGAGGGAATTTGCAGAGGTGGAAGGTGAGGAATGGTGAGAGAGAGAGAGAGAGGAGATGAGGGATGGTGAGATAGAAAAGAGGTGAGGGAGTGAGGTGAGAGATTTTGAGAGCTGTGCGATGGCGAGAGCGAGGAGGTGAGGGATGATGCGTGGGAGGAGGTGAAGGATGGTAAGAGAGATGAGGTTAGGGATTTTGACAGAGCGAGGGCTGGTGAGATAAAGAGGTGAGGCGATTGAGAGAGGAGGTGGGGGTGAGAGAGAGAAAGAGGGGTGAGGGATGGTGAGAAGGAGAGGTGAGGGATAGAGAGAGGATGTGAGCGATGGTGGCAAAGAGGCGTGGGATGGCGAGAAAGAGAGTAGGTGAGAGATGGTGAGAGAGATAGGGGTGTGGGATGGTGATAGAGAGAGGAGGTGAGGGATGGGTGACGAAGAGGTATGGGTGGGAGGAGGTGAGGGATGGTGAGAGAGAGGGGTGTGGGATGGTGGTAAAGAGTGGAGGTGAGGGATGGGTGACGAAGAGGTATGGGTGGGAGGAGGTGAGGGATGGTGAGAGAGAGGGGTGTGGGATGGTGATAAAGAGAGGAGGTGAGGGATGAAGAGAGAGCAATGAGGTGAGGGATGGTGACAGAAAGAGAGAGAGAGAGTAGGTGAGATATAGAGGACATGAGGGATGGGGAGGGTGAAAGGGGATTCGGGGTATTGAAAGAGGTGAGGAGTACATAGTTTTGGTTCTTTCGGTAAAGTCACGTAGAAGGGAAATAATAAAAAAAAATAATAAAAAATTCTCACGACGAAAGATTTTCTTGCAGTGGTTTTCACACCTGATGATGATTCCTTGTGTTGCAAACGAAACGTCGTGAGAATTTGATTGTTGAATTTTTATTATTTTATTATTTCCCTTCTACGTGATTTTACTGAAACAACCAAGAATATGAATCCGTGCAGTCACGAAAGCTTTAAATCGAAAAAAGGTGAGGGGTAGTGATGCGGTGATGGTTGTGGTGATAAGAGTGGTAATGTAACAATTGTGTTTTGCTGATACAGGTGATGTCCATCGTATTGGTAGTGGTGATGATGATCGTGTTGTTGATGATACTGCTGCTGCTGATGATTGTGACGATGATGGTGATTGCGAGGACGTGATGCTGATGCAACCGTTACTGCTGCTGAGCAGAATATTACTGATAGAGATAACGCAGTTGTTGAAGTAGATGATGACTGATGAGGATGAAAACGATGACGATCATAATAAGGGGCGCCTGGTATGTCGGAGGTCATGGGTTCGACCCCGACGCCTGTATATTTGGAGATTGAATGTTCTCGCCGTGGTCGCGTGGATTTTCATCCGGGTCCTCCGGTTTTCCCACCACATTTAGAAGCATGCGTTTAGAGTAGTTTGTCTGATGTAAATATCCACGTGATAAGCCACTCTGTTGAGCTGTCATTTGTGGCCAGGTTGCTTCTGAAACAGCTCAATGGACCTTATCTGGTAAAATACAATTTGTATCTAGTTTAGTTTATAAAATAATGATGATGACTATAAGGATTTTGATGATGACGATGTCGATGATGCGAATGATGTTGGATTAGTAGTTCCCAACGTTTCTGCACCGCGGGCCAATGCCATCCCTCGACACACATCCGCGTGGCATCACCACGCAGGAAAAAACAATCTAGGAACTCAACACAACCGTCAATAACGTGGCCGTCAGTACACACATATGCATGCTATGGGATGTTGGCTACCAACAACAAGGCAACTCCTATGACTAATTGGGAATGGGACGCAAGCGTAGGATTGATCACCCTGTCGCTGGCCGCCTTTGGGGAGGGTGTATAGTATGAAAGGCCGAAACACCCTAGGAACCAAAGGGTCACTACTTACGATGCGCTCCCCAAATTTCACCAGGCTCACTGTTCATGAACTCTTGGAAGTGCTTGCACAAAGGATAGTAACATCTCATCCTGTGTTCTTTGGAATCTGAAAAAAGCTTAAGCCTTCCGTAAATCACGTGGATTGGGTGTGGCAACTCCTACTCCGATCCTATCCCCTCTCATCGCCGCCCCCTTTAAAAACAGACGCCGCTCCGTGCAGCAGCGTCGGGGCCATTTCTAGCCTCTTGTCCCGATTCTCAACTTTCCTAAACCCTTTGCTCCCGTTTCTCCGTTCCATTTCCACAATGCTCATCTTCTCTCTTCCCTCTGCGTAACTTGATTATAATATTTTTTTCATGCGTTACATCCTTGACTCTACGGGTACAGCAGTTGATAGTAAACATATGACGAATATAATGATGCTTATACAGGGTGTTTAAAAGATTGACCCAAATTCAAAGTAGGATATTTCACGATGGCGACATGTTACAATTAATCTTAATTTTAGAGCTTTCGTGACTGCAGGAATTACTCTTTGGTTCTTTCGGTTAAGTCACATATAAAGATAAAATAATAAATTAAATAATAGCATACGACATTTCGATTGCAACACAAGCAATCATCATCAGGTATAAATGAAATAGCAACAATAAATCTAACCAGAAAACCATAGACAGACATATAAGCAGACAGATATCACCACTCTCTCTCTGTGTATCTTGGTGATATCTGTCTGCTTATATGTCTGTCTATAGTTTTCTGGTTAGATTTTTTGTTGCTATTTCATTTATACCTGATGATAATTGCTTGTGTTGCAATCGAAACGTCGTATGCTATTATTTAATTTATTAATTTATCCTTATACGTGACTTAACCGAAAGAACCAAAGAGATGTTACAATTACACAAAAAGTTGCAAATGGTTTAATGAGTTATCACGTTTTACTAACCATTTTATAAATGCTCTATGTGCCCTTCACCTGCTGTACGGACAACATCGAGACGATAGTTGAATTGGTCCCAAACGCCTCTCAAAGTGGCTTCTTCCACTGAAGTCACCGCTGCCGTGATTCTGTTTTTGAGGTCATCCAGATTAGTCGCTAATGGTGGCAAAAAAACACGGTCTTTGACGTATCCCCACAAGAAAAAGTCGCAGGGTGTGATGATGTCTGGGGATCTTGGGGGCCAAGAGTATAGCGCCAAGGCTTGAGGTCCCGTGCGACCTATCCAACGTTTAGGCAGTGTTGTCTTGCGAATGACTGAGGCTAGGGGCTGTTTGTGCGCTGGGAAAGGCATCGAACGGTAATCATTTGAAACTCTATGCGCCGCCCTTTCAAGTGGTAAGAGTTTCATTCATGGGCAGTTTGTGGTTGCAGAGATATAGCGATTTCAAATCGGGTCTATCATTTTTAAACACAATGTACTATGACGATGATGATAATTATTAAGTGACGTTTCGGGCAACCGCCCTTCTTGACAGCACATACATTCTCGACAGGACACAGATCCTCTGTGTGCTACGAAGGAGGACCGTAGTCCGAAACGTCGCCTATTATACACACAGTGGCATTTACGAATGTGTTGAGTGTTTTTGTTGTTGTTGTTAATTGTACTTGCGCGCCTTTGCTATCGCAGCAGCAGCATCACCGAGGAATTTGGGAACAGCATTTGGTACGTAGTAACATTAATTTGCATCTGCAACAGTTCCCCAGAACCACTGGTGTGTATTATTCTGATGGCCACTGCACTGATGATGGATAACGATCATGCGTATGGTGATGCTGATGCTGCTGATGATGATGCTAATGTCGATTATAAAAGTGATGATGATCGTGTCGATGCTGCAGCCGATAATGATCCTGATGCTACAGCCGATTACAATGTTAACAACGTATGCTGATGTCGCTGCTGTTGATGCTATCGTTGCTGATGCTGCTGCTGAGGGTGCTATACTGATTCTGCTGTCGATGATAACGCTGATGACGATCCTGATGCTACTGCTGACAATGATTCGAATAAATGATTTTGCTACTGCTCATGGTGGTGATTCTGCTACTGCTGATTCTAGCCGGGCGGATGGCGGCTATGCACGTGGGTTTAAATCCAGCACTGGGGGCTGCGACGGTGGGTGGATCTCACAAATGTGAAACTCACTTCCACTTTGCGCGTCGAAGGGGTGCCATACCCTGGCTCGCCAGGAGAAGGCGGTAGCGCAAAACTGCGAATTCCACCTGTTCCGTTGGTATGGGATAGAGCGTTTCTCCGTCGCGCGCGTTGGTTTTTCTCAGAGTGTTCCGGTTTTCTCCCACATGTAAGCGCTCACGAATTGGCCGGTAACACCTTTCATACCTCCCGCACCTCCGATCAGCACGGTTGGCCACGTATGGTGCAGGAGAAGTTCAACCAGTTACTCAATTGAGGCTGAGTGGACCTAGGGGAGGCCCTAGGTTGCTTTCCCTCTCGTCTGTGACTCCTCCTCGCGTCTCAGAGTCGTTCTCTCTCTCTCTCTCTTCGAGAGCGAAGACTGTATGCGTGTGTTTAATTTCTGTGCACATTTTTACGTCTTATTATTATTATTATTATGGTTTTCACCTGAGGACGGCTGCTTGCGTTGTGGCCGAAACGTCGTGAGAATTATTTTATTATGTTTAATTTTTATTATTTTATTACTTCCCTTCTACGTGACTTTACCGAAAACCCAAGAAGATGAATCCCTGCAGTCACGAAAGCTTTAAATCGAAATTATTATTATTTTTTGCTGATAGAGGAGAGATGAACGGGTCCAGGCCAGACCCCCCGTGGCTCCCACCGGCCGCGATTTGCGAGGTCGGGGACTTCTTCCTCAACTGCTCGGTCGCCTCCTCGCCGGCTCAGGTCCGCGCCGTCATCCAGGGCCTCCTCACTCTCCTCATCACCGCCACCGTCGCGGGCAACCTCCTCATCATCATCGCCGTGGCCACGTCGCGCCAGCTGAGGACCCAGACCAACGCGTTCATCGCCTCCATGGCCGTGGCGGACTTCCTCGTGGGGCTGACGGTGATGCCCTACAGCATGATGCGCTCCGTGCACCAGTGCTGGTGAGTGTGCACACCCACGAAGTGACGGTGACGTCACCACGGCTCCTGTGCCAGGCCAGGTGCACTTTGAGGCCACGTGAAATGTCGAAGGCTGGCTGACAGGAGGTCACGGGGCAGAGCCAGGTGCCATGGGTTGACCCCACTGAGATGACTGGCTGATGTGCCAGCTGTGCCCCCTGCTGTTCCAACTTGCTGCATTTGATCCGCCCGGTGCTCCACTCGTCGTTGTGAGCGTCGCTCCTCTGCCCTCGGTTGTTGTTGGAGGGCCACTGCCTCCAACTGACCAGTAGCGGCGTCCTTCAATAGCCTCACCCATAGAGGCCGATCTTGACACGGCTGGTAACAAAGAGCGATACATACATATAGTTACTAACACCATATAGATACACTTAGATAGATATATATCGATACACACATAGAGGTGAAGATACATATAGATAGAACATGATGCACTCCGTGCACAAGTGTTTACGTGTCTACGTAAACCAAACCAAAGATAAAGATCCCCCGTATAGCCACAGGGTGTCGTGGCAAGTGTTGAAAGCGAGTCACAGCTATGTAGGGGGCCGTCCATAAATGACGTCACGCACCTAGGGGGGTCAGACATTTGTGACGATGCGTGACGAGGGGGGGGGGGGTGAGAAATGTGACGTCACATGAAAATACGCAACTTTAAATAAATATAGACAACACGTTCTACTTAATTAAATAAACCTTTTAACAAATGTTTTCTCCTACAACATCAGAGTGCAGCGACACATTAAATACGCACTACAATGACAATAGTTTAAAGCGATTTGAAGCATGTTTTATATTTTTTTTGGGGGGGGGGGGCAGAGCTTTGTGACGTCATATTTGAGGGGGGGGGTCAAAAATCGTCCAAAATCGCGTGACATCATTTATGGACGGCCCCTACTACCAAACAAAAAAACAAACTTCAACACATTTGTCAATAACAATGTGGCCTTAAGAATATCATAAATATATAATTCGAACAAACACATACACATAATAGGTTACGTTTCGGTCAATAGCCCTGCTCATAGCCACATGGAACGCATCATCGCCCAATGATGTCCTCGCCAGGTACTACGGGCGCACGTTCTGCAAGGCGCACACGTGCCTGGAGTACGTGTTCACCACCGCCTCCATCCTGCACCTGGGCGCCATCGCCTTTGACCGCCACACGGCCATCTGCGACCCGCTGCGCTACCGCCAGAGGATCACTCCACGCCGCGTGGCCCACCTCCTGGCCGCCTCGTGGCTGCCTGCCGTTCCTCTACGTGCCGCCCGTGTCGCTGGGCTGGAACGTGGTCGGCGTGGAGGAGGCGGCGCGTCGCCTCTCGTGCCCCGACAGCTGCGTGGTGCTCAAGAACGTCGGCTTCGCCCTCGTCGACACGTGCTGCGCGTTCTTCGCGCCCACCGCGCTCATGCTCGTTGCCTACGCCAGGATCTACCGGGTGGCGCGCAGGCAGGCGAGGCAGATCGCCGCGTCGAGTACCGGCACCGTGTCGGTGGTGGCCGCCAGCGTGAAGCTGCAGCAGCAACAGCAGCAGCAAAACCACCTCCAACAGCAGGGCAATGAGCAGCAGGCGACGTTTAGGAGGACCATGAGGCGCGAGCACAACGCCACCAAGACGCTGGCCATCATCCTGGGCGCCTTCGTAGTCTGCTGGTGCCCGTACTTCGTGGCGAGCGCCGTCGACCCGTTCGTGGGCTTCAGCACGGAGCCGACGCTGCTGAGCGCCACGCTGTGGCTCTGCTACGCCAACTCGGCGCTCAATCCCGTGCTCTACGCCGCCTTCAACCGCCGCTTCAGGGCCGCCTTCAGCCGCATCTTCTGCCGAGGGAAAGGGAACGCGGCGGTGGTGGTGATGGTGGCCGCGGCGTGGAGGGACAGACGCCGGCCTCGACCTCCTCCGCCCGCGTGCCTGGAGGAAGAGAGCGACTCCTGATGGAGACGGGGGGGGGTTCCGGTGTCAGGAGGCCTGCTTCGGGAATGAGTTTCCGATGGTCAACATTTCAGAATGTCGGAATAATTTCGTATTGGGTCATCTCAGTTTCGGATTTTCCGGATTCGGAAAAAAAAAACAGATCCTTCTTTTTTCTTGTATGTATGTATGTATGTACGTTGAACTTCTTTCGCACAGTACGTGGCCAATCCTGTTAATCGGAAGTGCGGGGTGAAGGACAACAAACTTGACGCAAATAGGTGTGTGTGGTCAAATGTTGCGTGTGGTAAAATGTTTTCAGGAACTCGAGGCCAACGTCGAGATCTTGCTGGTCACGACGAGAGGGCTTCAGGAGAGAGTTGATGTAGTTTTGCTTTCCCTCCTCCTCCTTCTCCGTTGAAAGAGCCCAGACTACTATCGTTTTATTATATGGGCCATGGTTTGGGGTGCGTGGCCACCATCGCCCGACTTTGGTTTACCTTCAATTTTCCGTCACGTAAACTGATGTCAACAGTGTTTCTGTGCGACCATTAGCGACGTCACCGATGCCACGCGCCACAAACTTATGTCCAGAAAAACGTGGTCATGACTTCATTTTCGTGAAATCACTCCCAGTTTTCCGATCGATCCAAAAAAAACAACGTTCTTCGGATCGTCCGAAATCTAGTTAAATGTAAGCCTGATGCTGCATTGGGATGTTTTTCCTATTCATCCCAAAAACTTGGGAGCGTATCCGGAGGGCCGACCCACATATTGCTGAAGCGGAATAACCTTGGGCAACATCAACGCCCACTCACAGACCGGTGCTGAGTGACCCTTGTGATGCACATGGACAGCTGCCATCAGGGAGTCCTCGAGGCTAAAATAACAACACCCCCCCCTCCTCACTCAACTAAAGTTGCGGTATTCGAATGAATGAGATGAGGAGTTATATAACTGCTTGATTATGCTGCTTGTTAACTATCAATGAAACATCGATCCAGATTATTACGCGCGTGTATGGGTCGCTTTCCGGGATAACACCGGTGGTGCTGATGAAGCGGTAATACATTGGCGCCGTGGTGACGAGATGCTAACTACCTCGCCTGGTATACAGGAGGTCGTGGGTTCAATCCCGACCCTGACGCCTGCTGCTGTATATTTGGAGTTTGCATGTTCTCCCCGTGGTCGCGTGGAGTGTTTGGCTGCTATACATTTTCACGTGATAAGCCACTTCGTTGGACTATAATATGTGACCAGGTCGCTTCTAAAAAAGAGCCATATAGCTCAATGGGCCTTAGCTCGTAAAAAATAATAGTCACGACCAGTGAAACGTCGAACCAGACTGTTATGTGTGTGTGGATCGCTTTCCGGGATCACACCGGTGGTGCTGATGAAGCGTTTATACATTGGCACGTTTTTTCATCAGATGACAACTTTATTAATTGGTGGAGGAGGGGTTTAAGACGCAACATTTTACTTAAGCGGCGAGCTTGCACTAACATCAGTGACGAATGTTGTTAAGCACTTTGAGATATAAAGGAGGCGTTTACGCACCCTATGAATGCAAACCTTATCCTTGAAATCGCCATCCTTACTCAGGACTAGATTATATATACAGGATAGAGAGATTGTGTGGAAATACTGCTTTCTAATAGGTGACACGCAATACCGGTGGCCTGTAGCACTCATAAGTCATAGAGATTAAAGCTGAAGCATCATTACTATGCGTGGTGTTGCCCGAGCTTAATTTCAGCCGGAGTTGTTTGGGGCTGAACTCCGGAAAATATCCACGCCGACCACCCCCTCCCCCTCCTCCTCCCTCTCCACGTGGGCGTGTTGGTCGGCATGGCTCCAATCGTGGCGTATGAGAAGAGGAACAGTCGTGGATGTTTGAATGCTCTCTGGATAATACAAAACTACACTTTAAAAAATATATCTATACCAGGTAAGGCTCACCGAGCTATATACTCTCTCAATTATCCACCAAACTACACCGCCCACCTGAGACCATCGCCTCTCCTCTCACCTGGGCGATTTCCTCCCTGTGAGCCGCCCACACCACCAACACCCACCCCCACATGTCCCACCTGTCTGTCCCACGTCGCCAGTGACTAGAGGCGTGAACTCGCCAGGGGCGTCCCTCTAATTAGTGCTAATTGCCTATTAGCGCATGGATGCAGGGTGGAGGAGAAGGGTGGGCGTTAGAGGGTCGGATGGTAACTGTGGTGGGGGGGTGGGGTCTGTTTATGCATAAATAAGAGTGACCTAATAGTCACTCGCAAACATCAGGACAAGGTGAGTGGGAGTTTAAGAAGGATTTTGACGGGGGAAGTTTGTGTCTGTTTGTAATGCTTCAGGGTTTATCAATGCGTGTTGAACGTATATCACGGGTAGAATACAAAGATGCATGGTACAAATAAAAGCATACCTAAGTTAATGAAAAAAAAATGAACAGTACGAGATGTTAACTACCTCGCCTGGTATGCAGGAGGCCGTGGGTTCGATCCAGACCCTGACGCTTGCTGTATATTTGCGTGTTCTCTCTCCCCGTGGTCGCGTGGATTTTTCTCCGGATCCTCTGGTTTTCCCTCTACATTTAGAAACATGCATTTAGAATATTTAGCTGCTATGAATTTCCACGTGATGAGCCGCTTCGCTGAGCTAATATTTGTGGCCAGGTCGCTTCTGAAAAAGAGCTGTGTAACTCAGTGTGCCTTACCTGGTAAGAAAAAAAGAGAAATAAAATAAGCGTTAATGATCAGATTATACTGATGCGTGTGCCGGTTATGGGACTCAATCAGTGACTGAGCACTCTCAGTTTATGAATTTCACAGAAATGCAATGACCCAAAGCCTTCAACGCTGCTGCTGCGGCAATTGCTGAAAGCGAACACCTCTTAAAGGCCGCAACCGCTAGCATCACGACAAGCCGCATGTGTCTCCCCGCCGCCAATGTTTTAACCACCACACCAGCCACTCATTGACACACATCCGATGAGCACGGTTGGCCACGCACGGTGAAAACGAAGTTCAACATCGAGTACATTTAAGGCTGAGTCGACCTATCGGAAGCCCAGGACCGATTCGGTTATAAACTCGCCATTGATTTTTATCTGTGGCCGAGAAACGAATTCAGGCGACGGGATTCGTAGTGCAACGCACCCAACCCTTGGGCCACCGCTCCGCAACATGAATAACAAAGCCAAAGATCTCCCGTATAGCCTTATCAGACTGTTGGGGCAAGTGCTGTTAGCGAGTAGCCCCTATAAAGGCTAACACGGCACACGAGGGGTGGTGAGAGTAGCACCACACCCGGCCGCCTTTGGCTCTCCAGTGTTTTTTTAAACACCGCACCAGATACTTATTTAAGGCTGAGTTGACCTAGACAAAGATCTCCCGTATAGCCTTAACATACTATTGGGGCAAGTGCTGCTAGCGAGTACCTATGAAGGCCGGGACGGCACACGATGGTGGCGATGTTTACACATCTCACCAGGTGCTCATTTAAGGCTGAGTCGACCTAGACAAAGATCTCCCGTATAGCCTTAACAGACTGTTGGAGCAAGTGCTGCTAGCGAGTACCTATGAAGGCCGGGACGGCACACGAGGGTGGCGATGTTTACACATCTCACCAGGTGCTCATTTAAGGCTGAGTCGACCTAGGGGAACTCGCACACCCGCATACTCCTTCATGGACCCAGGCTCACGGCCCGCTCTCCCACCCCGCCTGGACGCCGTCTCGTCGTTTGACCGTTGAGCGGTTGTAACCTCCTCCGGGTAAATGCTGCCAGCACCGAATCGCTCCTCCAGGTTCACGCTAAGTGACGGCTCAAGCTGCCAGCACGCGGCAGAGAGGGCGCACGAAAGCCCGGAGCCGTCACGAATCCCGAGCGCTCGTTCTCGCCCCACGTGTCTCAACACCCGCAGGGCCTGCGCGCTGGCTACCTCCTTCCTCCAGCTGCCGCTGAGAACCTCGTCCATTCCTCCATCACGTCCCTCACCTCCCCGCGTCCCTGGCCAACGAATGATAGCTCAATGAAGCGGCTTTTCATCCGGAAATTTACAGCAGTCAAATAGATTTGAAGTTTTCGTGAGCGCAGGGATCCATACTCTTTGGTTCTTTCGGTAAATTCTAGATTTGAAGCTTTCGTGACTGCAATGATTTATATTCTAAGGTTTTTTAATTTTACTTTTATAAATTTTCATTTTCATTTTTTACCTACGTGACTTTACCGAAAAAACCTAAGAATATCTTTCGGTAAAGTCACGTAGGTATAAAAAATAAAATAAATTGTTTCTTGCTGTGGTTGTCCCACCTGATTGACGGACGCTTGTGTTGCGCCCGAAACGTCGTGATTAAATTGATTTTATTTTTTATACCTACGTGACTTTACCGAAAGAATCAAAGAGTATAGCAGTCAAATACTCTACTAACCTGGTGACCCGAGTTAAATTTCCGACAGCGACCAACATCAGTGGATAGTCATATATACAAATCGATCATTGGCCTCCCCTAGGTCGGCTCAGTCTTGCATGAGCGCCCGTAAGGTGTATAACACATTAGCAATGGGGAGACAAAGGCGGCTGGGCGTGGTGGTGCTGATCGCGCCACCCGATAGAATGTGCGGTATTCTAGAGAGGAGAAATGAAGACGCGAGATATAGCGGGATACGTTCAACGAAGACACACATACAGCATGTAGGTAGGGAGATGAGAGAACAGAGATGCTGGGCAAAATTGGAGCTCGTGTTAATTTGCTGTCACGTTCGTTTGTGTTTGACTTTGAGTGAGATGACAGATGATAGATAGTGGAGCTCTATTTTAATAAAATAAATCTGGAACTCACACTTGAGCCGCGCACTTTTATGTATGTACGTATGTTGAAGCCTCTTTCAATAATGTTTTTTTTCATTAGGTCGCGTAAAACTGAATGTGTCGCAAACCCGCCACCACTCGACACAGCCACTAAGTAAGGTTTGTCACGGAAACAAAACGTGCCAATTTGTTACAACCGGTGTGTTGGAAGAGTACACCCACAACATCTATAATTTGAGTACGACGTTTCGCTGGTGATTGCAACCAACTTCATCAGGCGATTTGCCAGAATTGTTTATGCAATCTAACCCCCCCCCCCCCAAGAACACATTTTACGGATAATATTTCTTGCGAAAGCCTACGTGTTAAATTTATTTCGCACCATACGTAACCAACTGTGCTAATTGGAGGTGCGAACGATACTGTGCACTAGGAGGTAGGGAAATTACAGATTAAAGGATTTAGTTTAATTTTTTTTACAATTTTGGATTTTAGTTTTTGGGATATTTACATTTTGTGCCACGTTCAAATGTATTTGTGCTAGCAGTAGTGAGGTCACCCGATGCCACGTGACGCATGTATGTTTTTTAAATACTCTTTAATCACAATTTTCAAATTAATATAGGGAAGCGCTTGTCATTTTTTTGACCAACACGAAGGCTGATCTGTTCTTTTCCCTTCCTTTTTATCGTCTTAATGACTTGTTTTAAAATGTTTTTATTGTTAAAGCTTTTATGTAACAACTTTTGAGAGCCCATGACTGCCAGTCGCGCGTTATCGATTGAAGGATCTTCCTCACAAAGAGCTGACCCAACGCGACGAATGCATGCGCGTGTGTATGCTGAACTTCTTTCGCACCGTACGTAGCCAACCGTGCAAATATGGAGGTTGCGGGGAAGCAAAGGACAAGGAACCAACACGCCGGCCGCACTTGGTGGTGCTGGGGGTGGGGATCGGTTGCCGTAATCGTTTGCTCGCTCGGTGTGTGCCGACTCATATAGCGCCTCCTCTCCTCGGGTTCAACCATGAGCTCGGAGGAGCACCCCACGGGCCCCGCGTGCTCCCTCTCGCACGGCCTCAACTGCTCGCTGCCCGCCCACTCCGCGCACGTGGCCGCCGCCGTGGCCGCTCTGCTCGCCGCGACCACGTGTTGCACGGTGCTGGGCAACGCCGTCGTGGTGACCGCTGTGGTCACCTTCAGGTAGCCACAGAAAAGGTTCATTAGAGGGGGCACGTGCCACCACACCCCCCAACTGGCTCCGCCAGTGACGGTGGGGATGGTTTAGTTGTATTTTGTTTGGGTAATTTGTTTAGCTTTCTTGTACTCTGCACGACTATCATGTTTTTGTATTGTTCTATGTTGGAACATTCTTATTCTCCCCTACTGGACATCTATGAAAGATATCTTAATAGCTCATCGGATTTCTCCAGTATAAATACGTATTCTGATTCAGTGTTTGTGTATGTTGAACTTCTTTTACACCGTACGTAGCCAACCGTGTTAATCGGAGGTGTGTATGTTGAACTTATTCCGCACCGTACTTAGCCAACCTTGATAATCGAATGTATGTAGAACTTCTTTTACACCGTACAGAGCCAACCTTATAGGCGTTAATAGACTGGTGGGGCAAGTGCTGTTCTTGAGCACCTATGGAGGGCCGCCTTTGTCTCCCCAGTGGCGATGTTTCCACATCGCACCAGGTATTAATTTGAGGCTGAGTCTACCTAGGGAAGGCCCAGGACCGGTTCAGATTATTGTTACTGTGGTGTTGGTCGTGAGCGGGAATCTAACCCGGGTCGTCGGGTTCGTAGCGCAGCGCGCTAGCCGTTGCACTACCGCTCCCCACCAGACAAAGACAAAGATCTCCCGTATAGCCTGAACAGATTGTTGGGGCAAGTGTTGTTAGCGAAGATAACTTATGAAGGCCGGCACGGCACACGAGGGTGTGGGTGGCCAGCACTACGCCCGGCCGCCTTTGTCTCCCCAGTAGCGATGTTTACACATCGCACTAGGTAGTCGTGAGGCTGAGTCGACCTAGGGGAGGACCGTTCACAGGTGTTGGTCGTGAGCGGGAATCGAACCCGGGTCGCCGGGTTCGTAGAGCGGTGCGCTAACTGCTGCACAACACACACGGTGCCTGGTCCGGCCAGAGCTTTGCAGAAGCTCCCCAGAACGTGAAGCGAAACGTCGGACTTTGTGCCCGAACAATACTCGCTCCACGGGGTAGAGCTACAGGGATAGGCTTTGCCGCGACGTAGTTTGTTCACGATACGATATGAGATCGCGATGTCAGTTTCCCATCGCTCTCCAAGAACAACTTTGGATGAGGAGTGTGTGTCCAGCGAGGAATTCAGCTCCGTGTTTGCGGGCCCCGGGCGGGAGGATTGGGGCCATCGCACGATCGCGATAGGCGGTGACAGCGGGGGCTTTGGGGGAGAGGGATTCATCCAACGATTAACCAGGGCGGCCGCTGGGTCCCGATCCGCAAACCTCTACAACAGGGGTCGGCAACCTGCGGCTCCGTAAGGGTTGCTTAGTGACGTTTTTATTAACGACCATCTCGTATTTACATGCGTTGCGGCTCTTGAAATAGAGTTTATTTTTACCAAATTCGATTTTTTTTAATCTTGCTAAAACAAGCGGCAAACGCCCCAGCGTTCGTCCACGTGCGGTCAAACCGGACAATCGTCTGGATGGGTAACCACCACCCGCAAAAGCCGGGTGGCAGTCGGCGCCGTGGAGAGCAGAGTGACATCCTCCACCCCTTGCTCTGGGCTACCCTCCCCCAAACCCCCTGACCCTCCCCACCGACCTCTAGGCAACTCCAGACGCGCACCAACGCCTTCACGCTGTCTCTGGCCGTGGCCGACCTTCTGGTGGGCCTCCTGGTCATGCCGTTCAGCGCCACGCGCTCGCTGTACGGCTGCTGGTTCTTCGGGGCGACCTTCTGCAAGGTGCACACGTGCATGGACTTCCTGTTCACCACCTCGTCCATCTTCCACCTGTGCGCCATCGCCTTCGACCGCCACGTGGCGATCTGCGACCCCCTGCGCTACGGCGCCCGCGTGAGCCGCCGCACGGTGGCTCTGCTCGTGGCGCTGTGCTGGCTCGTGGCTCTTCTCTACGTGGTGCCCATCATGCTCGGCTGGAACCTGGTGGGGATCGAGGAGGAGGTGGCGCGCTCATCCTGCCCGGGCAACTGCGATCTCTACCTGAACACCGCCTTCGCGCTCACGTCCGCCGCGTGCGGCTACTACGCGCCCATGGTGGGGATGGTGGTGGCCTACGCAAGGGTCTACTCCGTGGCGAGGGCGCAGTCGCGACGCGTCCGCGCGGAGGCCAACAGAGACCGCGGCGTGGGTGAGTGTCAGCATGGCGATGATGCTGCTGAGAATAAAAACACAATAGCGTGTGCAGGGATGTTTCGGTATACGCTTTGGTTCTTTCGGTAAAGTCACGTAGGTGAAAAATGAAAATAAATAAAAGTTAATTTATTTTTTATAAATAAAAGTTTATTTATTTTTTATTTTTCACCTACGTGACTTTACCGAAAGAACCAAAGAGTGTGTGGATCCTTGCAGTCACGAAAACTTCAAATCTAGAATTTTTCGGTACAGTGAACTCTGGATTTTTTTTACCATTATTTTACACGTAAAGATAAACATAAATAAAATATTAATTACATACACTGAAATTAACAAGTAAATAATACATTGGGCAATATAAATATTCTCCAGGTCCTCCGGGTTTTCCCTCCACATTTATAAATACGCATTCATAGTATAAATTTCCACACTATTAACCACTTCGTTGAGCTATAATTTGTGATAGAGATGTATAGCTCAGTGGGCCTTACCTGGTAAAATAAAAAAAAAATCAGTCTTATTTATATATATATATATAATAACTGATTAATTTACCTTTCCTAACTTCAAACTAGATTCGAAGCTTCCGTGACTGCAGGAATTATTCTCCGGTTCTTTCTGTAAAGAAATTAAATAACAATAGAATACGACGTTTCCTACCTTATCGTGTTTTTGGTATTGTTTGTTGTTGCAACGTTCTGACCCCCGGTGCCCTCCACTGGACGTCTATGATAAAGAACTTCACGTCAGATTCCTCCTCCAGTATAAAAATACAGATTTCCGATTCTCATCAGACGAGCGGGCTGGAGGCAAACGAAAGGCGAGGACGTCACTCAAGCGCGAGCACAACGCCACCAAGACGCTGGGCATCATCATGGGCGTCTTCCTCGTCCTCTGGCTCCCGTACTACGCCTCGAGCATCGCGAGCGCCTTCTCCGCGAGCAGCGCCATCGACCCCGTGGCGTGGGACGCCTTCTTCTGGATGGGCTACTCCAACTCGGCCATCAACCCCGTCCTCTACGCGTGCTTCAACCGCAGCTTCCGCGCTGCCTTCCGCCTCCTGTTCAGCCGACGCGCCTTCAAGGCGAGCGCCAGGCGGCTAGACCTGAGCGAGTCGTGAGCAGAGATCACAACCGGGTACCCGATACCCGGCTACCCGTACCCGGCCGGGTACGGGTATTCGTTTGCGACCCTGGTGAGGCCGGGTACGGGTAGACCGTGAGTCACTGGTGAGTAACTTCTTCTTGGTTCTTTTGGTAAAGTCACGTAGAAGGGAAGTAATAAAATAATAAAAATAAAACATAATAAAATAATTCTCACGACGTTTCGGCCACAACGCAAGCAGCCGTCCTCAGGTGAAAACCAGGTCTGTCGAGGCGACAGCGTCTGAATGAAACAGCACACGTGCTTGGAGCATATATATAAGCTGGGTTGGAAGGGGGGAAAAGGGCGCCTTGACAAAAGAATATGCATATCAAGAGGCATTTAGCATATTTATGGGAAATGCAGGTATGTGATTAGTACTACTCATGCCTGTGCATTATGCAGGATTAGCAGCATCAAAGGGAGGGGATATGGGAAATGCAGGTATGTGATTTGTACTACTTATGCCCGTGCATTATGCAGGATTAGCAACATCAAAGGGTGGGGATATGGGAAATGCAGGTATGTGAATAACTGTTTGTCACTCATTTCCCAACGTCTTGTCTCTTCTCACAATTCAAGTTCCTAGAATCAACCCACCCGTGCCTGCAACATGGCTTCATCCCAGAGGTCGCAATCAGGTACCCGATACCCGTACCCTACCCGGCCGGGTACGGGTAGGGTACGGGTACGGCCGGGTACGGGTACCCGTTTGCGACCCTGGTGTGGCCGGGTACGGGTAAGGAATCAAAAACCGTTTGCGACCTCTGGTCGTGAGACGGCATGTGGTAATGATGGGGTATGGGGGCGGGGGTTTCGGCTCCCAGGTTGACTTTGTTCAACCTGCGGCTGAAGAACTCAGAATCAGATTATTTTATTCATACTGGAGGAATCCGATGAGCAACGAAGCTTTTTTTCCACTAAACTCACAATTTGTATTTTGCGAGGTAAGGCCCACTGACCTGTTGGCTTCTTATCCAGAAGCGATAGAGGTCACTTCTGAAAATGAAGTGATGAAGGTTCATGGTGGTGGTGATTGTGGTGAGTGAGAGGTCTCTCAATCTCCGCTACTGCCCCCTTCGTGTTTAAAAAAATAATCTGCGTGAATTGAGCACTTTTATGCCCCAGCATCGCCAAGCTCCTTACATCTCAATAATTCCAAACAGTCGGTTTGATCATTTTATCGCGAAACTAAACTTTTTCTTTTACCAGGTAAGACCCACTGGGCTATGCTTTTTTTCAGAACCGACCTGGCCACAAATTATAGCCCAACAAAGTGGCTTATCGCATGGGAATTTATAGCAGCCAAATACTCTATAAACGCATGTTTCTTCTAAATGTGGAGGGAAAAAAACCGGAGGCACCAGAGAAAACTCCACGCGACCACGGTGAAAGAGAGACACCGCAAACTCCAAATATACAGCAGCCGTCAGGGTCGGGATCGAACCCACGCCCTGCTGCATACCAGGCGAAGTAGTCAACATCTCGCCACTGCGGCGACGACCTCCCGATGACAGCTGTCCCCGTGTGCACAGAACCGGCCTGCAAGTGGACATCAGTCTGGCGGTAGAGGGCGATGTCGATATTTGTGAATTGCAATTCGTTTGCGAGTTCTTTTTTTCCAAAATTGGAAAACTTGGACCACGACACCGGCTAACAAAAATGGCGCCTCCTCCTCTCTCCTGAACAATGTGACGAGACCGTCTATGTAGGGTATGTTGAACTTCTTTCGCACTGTATACATGTACAAATGATGGGCCACTTTGTTGAGCTATCATTTGTGGCCAGGTCGCTTCTGAAAAGTAAGCTAATACCTCAGTGGGCTTTGTCTTTTACGGTGGGCGATGGCGGAGCCAGAATTTTCAGGTAGGCGGGGCAATGCCTCCAGCAAAGAAAAATGATAGGAGTTGTTAGTAAGTGAGGACTTGTCCCTTGCTTTTTATTCGACGCGTGTGCGGCGATGGCGCAGCCGTCGATCGAGGGTCGAATTCGACTGTGTGTGATCGACATCGCGCTCGCTGAAGATATGCCTTCAGGAAAGTCATGTACTGTACAATTCTGCGAGTCACTTATAACTGCTTTGCCATTACTTATTGCCAGTTATGGACTCAGACTATTGTTCTATCATCTCATAGAGTCCCTGGCACATAATAATATGCTACACAGTGGCAGTGGGGGTCGCAAAATGCCGATTTATTACTAATAAACCCCAATGATCCGATCGAAATTAGGAATTTCGATCGGATCATTGGAGGGGGCACGTCCACCCCACCCCCACTGGCTCCGCCAGTGACGGTGGGGATGGTTTAGTTGTATTTGTTTGTGTAATTTGTTTACCTTTCTTGTGCTTTGCACGCCTATCATGTTTTTGTATTGTTCGTTGTTGTAACATTCTTATCCACCCCTAATGGACATCTATGAAAGATATCCTAATAGCTCATCGGATTTCTCCAGTATAAATACGCATTCTGATTCAGTGTTTGTGTAAGTTGAACTTCTTTTACACCGTACGTAGCCAACCGTGTTAATCGGAGGTATGTATGTTGAAGTTCTTCCGCACCGTACTTAGCCAACCGTGATAATCGAATGTATGTAGAACTTCTTTCACACCGTACAAAGCCAACCCTGCTAATAGGAGGATCATACTCCCTCCCATACATCAAAAAGAAGGGAGAGTAGCCGGTGGACACGTGAGTGATCATCCCATAAGCAGCGAGAACCGCAGGAATATGCAGTCCCAATCGAATTGTGACTCGCTGACAAAGTGACTCAACATGGAGGTCAGAGTCCGGTGTAGGCGCTCGACCATGCCATCTGTTTGCGGGTGGTATGGCGACATGCGTACCTTTTTCGTCCCCAGCAAATCGCAAACCTCACGCAGCAGCTTGGACGATTTATTTTGCCTTAATCCGTCAAGAGGCGCTCGGGGACACCCTTATCCAGAACATAGCCATTGAGGAACGCCTCTGTAATAGTCACCGCCAATTGATTCGGGAGCAGCCAGGGCATAGGCCAGCGTGAGTACCTATTTCCACGCGTGGAAGTAGGAAACGGCCCGAGAATATCGAGGGCAACAATTTAATTTACATGCGACACCTGGATAGATTGCAGTGGAGGGCAACAGGATCTCGCTGGGCACATTGTACGCAACCCTTAAGCAGATCCTCGACGTCGGAGGCCATGGCTGGCCAATAAAAATCCAATTTAAGAGCGGTCAGCGTCTTTTGCACTCCGAGATGCAACAACCGTTTATGCACAGCCCATACAACCTCGCCACGCAAGGCGGTAGGGACAACATTTGCATAACGGCGCAATCCTCCATCCCAATACAGGAGCAGCCCGCCCCCCAGGACAAACGAGGCGTACCATCGGCAGTCTCCCTGACACGCTGGCGCAACTTAAGGAGGGACGCGTCCTCTGCCTGCCAGAGTCCCCATATCTCGTAATCCAACCCCAAAATCGCATCCCGTACATCAGGGACGTCGCCCGTCCCTCCCATCATGTCCACGGCGGACGCAACGAGAGGGGAGGGGGAGATCGAGCCAGCCGGTCGACAATGACCGGAACCCGAAAAACAAGCAAACTCCCCGCCCGCTGGCAATCGTGATGGGGCATCGGCGTTCTTATGGCGAGAACCCTTACGATACGTGACATTGAACGAAAAATCCTGCAGGATTTTGAGCTAGCGTGATAACTGACCGGAGGGCTGATCCACACGCAGCGCGAACTGGAGCGCTGCGTGATCGGAGCGCACCTCGAAATGTCGCCCGTACAAGTAAGTCCGATATTGTTGCACAAAAACCACAATGGCCAATAGCTACCGGCGCGTTACGCAGTACCGCTGCACGGCCGGAGACAGCACCCAGCTGCCATACGTGACCACGTGCTGTTGTATACTAACCCTTCTTCCAAAATTGAGATTAATAATATTTGATGATATTTTTATATATTATCTTTTTACTTGTTTTTTTTAATGAATGAAACACACCAAAGCGCAGCAAACTGCAAAACACCAGGTGTTGTTAAGTAATGAACTGGAGGAGGGCTAGGATGGCAGAATTTGCAACCTTGCTTCAAGGAAAGATAAGGCCTGATGAACGGGCACATGTCACCCGTGCAGGCGGCAGAGACAGTGGGAGTGTCAGCCAGACATAGTTAAGGCAAAAAGCCCAACCATCCTGCATGGTTTTAAAGTAACGTCAAAATTCGAAATTCAACAACAGAGTAGGCTAAATTATCGATCCTCGCGCTCGCTCAAATTGGAGACCAGGCTGCGAGCTACATCAATGAACCATTGCCCATTTGCTAATCCAATACTGAATGTTAATATTACTGAAGTCAAAACGAATTCTATGACCTCAGCACATGGGCAAATAATAGGGCAGTGTCGACTCAAAGGCAATGGAAGAAAACAGAGGCGCCTTTGTCTAAATCACAACCACAGAAAGCCAGGAATCATCACTGATTGTGTGTTTAGGGATTCCGAGCTAGTTAGAACACGTGCACACAGGGGGGAGGTAGAAGTACGCCTTGTCCTCCTGCAGCTGAGGGAGCAAAGATAAACCCAAGAAGGCCAAGGAATTAAAATAAGTGGGTCAGCTCAAGGCTGTGTGCACAGGGGAGGGAGCTGATTTAAACAACCCTGCACGTCTGAACGTGAGGGGGCCTTGGACCTGAAATTAAGAATAACACTCCCAGAGCAGAAGGTTGGATGGCCACAGTGAGACAAGAATAAGAGGGTTGTATATCTCTCAAGGAGGCAGACCCAGCTGAACAACAAGGCTGCGGGGGTCACCAGAAGTTCGCGTTCGCCTAGTTAAGACAAAAAGCTCAATTATTCTGTATTGCTATTAAAGTAACGTTAAAGTCGGAATTTAACAACAGGGTAGGCTAAAGTTTGATATTCACACCCACTCCAATTAAACCAGGTCACAAGTTACGCCTACTGAACCATCACCATCATTAAGTCAATATGAA